TGCCTCCTTACCACTTTTCTAACATCACTGAAAAGTGATCCAAATGTGTGTTTTTCAGAGGCTCAGCAATCTTACCGCACATTTAAAGGCAGCCTTAAAGTGTTACTAAACCTACATGAGTAAAATCAGTCTGTATATGCAGTAACGCATGCTTGATATACATACTGTTGAACCTAAGGAGTTAATCCTCTGAATTGTGTAAAAATGCTGTTTGATCCTGACTTCTCTGATCCTCCCCTTCTTCCAGTTTCCCCCTCTTATCTCCTGTAAGACATATCATGTGAAGACACTCTGCACATGCTCAGTTTGGTGCGTATTGGTAAAGAGGTTTTTTTTGTCTCTTTGGCCCTGTGCTGATCACATGCACTCTCCCATCAGCAATCTTACCGCACATTTAAAGGCAGCCTTAAAGTGTTACTAAACCTACATGAGTAAAATCAGTCTGTATATGCAGTAACGCATGCTTGATATACATACTGTTGAACCTAAGGGGTTAATCCTCTGAATTGTGTAAAAATGCTGTTTGATCCTTACTTCTCTGATCCTCCCCTTCTTCCAGTGTCCCCCTCTTATCTCCTGATAAGACATATCATGTGGAGACACTCTGCACATGCTCAGTTTGGTGCGTATTGGTAAAGAGGGTTTTTTTTTCTTTTTGACCCTGTGCTGATCACATGCACTCTCCCATCAGCACTGCCCAGACAGAGATCAGGGGTTCTGCATCCTCCTAGAGCAAAAAGAAAACTCTTCCTACAAGCTTTAAATAATGCTCTGCTGACCAGACTGCTTTAACTGCTGATGATAAAAGGTATTTAGCAGTATATATTTACTAAAATAATTGCACTTCCATGTTCTGTGTACTGTGGGAGACCAGATATAGTGGATGCAAGGTCCTGGGTTTAGTAACACTTTAATAATCTCCACTCTATGACACATAAAGTAGGAATATGCTCCCAAAATCCTGCCTCCATTAAGGGTCTGACATGCCTTCTAGTGTGCAAAATAAAACACAAACTTCCACACCACAAACATCAAGTGATTGTAAAGAATAAAGTTTTATTTTTTTTTAAATAACAAAAATGTCATACTTACCAGCTCTGTACAGAGCAGCCCCAATCCTCCTCTTCTGGGGTCCCTCACTGGAGCTCCTGGCCCCTCCCCCCATTGAGTACCCCCATAATAAGCTGTTTGCTATGGGGGCACTCATGCATGCTTTCTTCTGAGCCATCTCTGTGTGCCCCACCCTCTACTCCCTCCCCACTGGCTGTGATTGACAACAGCAGGAGACAATGGCTGCTGCTGCTGCTGTGCCTGAGCCAAGGAGGAGAAAGAGCAGTGAGAAACTCTGGTCTTGTGCACATCACTGGATCGAGACTGGGCTCAGATAAGTAAACAAGGGGACTGGGGGGAAGCTGTACACAGCAGCGTATGCATAGAATGCATAAAGGTAAAAAACTTTCTGCCTTGAGAACCACTTTCATGTTCAGTGCACATTTCTGCATGTGCGTTTAGGTGCATTTGTCATGCATATGCTGCTTTTTTTAGCATTATTTTTTTCATTCACTTCAAAGATCTTTATTCAGCATGTAAACATTTTCCCCTTCGTTTATGCACGTTCTGTTGCAAAAAAAAAAATCAGCCTTTACTGTACTTTTTTTTTAAATCACTGAAACTGAACACAATGGTGTGAACAAGGGTGATTAGAAAACATTGACTTTTACTGTGCATGCGCTGCAGATGCGTTTAAAAAGTGCACCCAAAAGCATCAGATGTGAAAAGCAATCTAGTAGTACAACATGATATGAGGCACTGTATACCTTCTTCTAAAGCAATCCCACTGCCCCCTATTGGATTGATAGGCTGATAGCATTTCATTCTAACATTTGCCTTCATAGTACATGGGTGACAGATGTGACTGGTTCTATATAGCAGATCACCTGCATAGACCTTGTATTTGGTTAAGCTGGACTGGACTGATGCAGGAAAGGCTATATAAAGTTCACATAGAAGATCAAACAGGTCAGATGTATCAGTATTCCAGAATGGAGGGCTACAAGGAGATTATGAAGGGTCTTGGATCCCTGTGGGTTCAGCATAGGCTCATTGCTAGTAATCTGTGGAGCGCGTGTGCAGTTTGGAGAATCATAGATGTGAATGGGGGAAGCCCCCTGGTGTGGAGATAGAAGGGGGGTTGGATGAAATGTGTGATACACGTGCAGCAAGTTACTGTACATTAAGTCTAGTAAAAGCTGGAGATTCCCTGCACTATGTAATAAGTCTTATGGGGCAGATGGTTGAGTCTGTAGCTCCATGGCAGGTTGAAGCCCCCTACTGGGGTTTTGTACTCTTGGAAGGAGACTGCTGTAACTTCCCAGAGAGGCCCTGTTAGCACAAGAAAAGAAAATCCCCTAAATAGGCGGAACAGAGCATCAGGAGGGATCTCTTACTAAACGCATTCTAATAGGTAAGAGGCATTGTGCCCTATTCAGCACCCATCATCATTTAGCCAAAGAGTTATGGCAATGATTGGGCCTGAATAGGGGAGCAGAATGGATACATGTGGCGCTGGCTCATTATATTCCTCTTAGTCCAATTCCTCTGTGGAAACTGTTCAACTTTGTTCCATTGCGCCTGTCATGTTGGAATAATACAGACGTCGGTGCTTCCAATGGGATAGCCTGCCATGCCATTCTCCTGCTGGAGCTAACGAGGGCTTCATAAGCCTTTGATACAGCCTGATCTTTGAAACCTTTCCAAATCTCCTCAAGCTTCTCCTAAATCCTATTTGGAACATTTAATTCTTTCTTCGGCCTGCCAGTGTCCGAGGCTTTAAGAAAGCCACTTGGGCAGTGACATGCATACTAACCCACCCCGGCTGGCTAAAAAGCAAATTGCAGCTCTGATCATCGGCTCTCACGCGACTGAATCACTAATGGGTGCAGGTTTGAAGAAAATGAATTCGGGGTAATCCTTCAATCTCATTTAGGAAGGAAATCTGTTATGATCATTATTCATAAAATGGAGCCTCTGTAACCAGGCAGATCTTTAAGTGTACTTAAATTCAAGAACAATAATTGATGGCATTTCAGCTTACCAGTCCTTAGATGTGGTGGTTGTTTTCACTTTAATTCAACATTCCAGTCCTGCTATTAACACACTCCTGTCCTAGGGTGACAACTGTACTGACCAGCATTGTCACCATAGGAAGGGAGTGTGTTAAGACTACATAACTCTATCTTAGGACTATATGAGACCTCCCTCTCTTCTCCATAACAGGGGGAGGTGATCTATAGTCCCATGAACTAGCAGGGAGCAATGCTAACTGGTAACAGTCCATAGGCAGAGAGTACAGAAGGTTTCTGGCTGGATGAACAGCTACTTTTTGCACTTATTGAACAGATACTGTTAAACAAAATGCTGTCATGCACTTATATCTATATTTGATAAATGTGACCTTTCCTACCTGTTTGTACAAAACATTTCTGAATAAAATGAATTCCAAAAAAACAAAAGAATTTCAATGGTATATTTATTTTATATTTAAATCTGGGAAATCTGAAAATACCCATGTACTGAAAGGGTTAAGATATAGGGGAGAGTAAAATCACTTTTACTTACCTGATGCTCTGCTCCCCCCTGCAGATGTGCACCCCTATGTGGTGGACAGTCCTTTGGTGTCCTCTCACCAAACCCAGGGCTATGGCTCCTGCATTGTTCTAGATGATGTCAAAACCTTAGAATGCCAGAGCATGCCAAGAAAATGCTTCAGGGACCAATCTAGCAGCATGAGAGATTGGAGGATCAGGCAAGAAAGTCTTTCCTATGCCCCCTGGACCTTAGGCTGACCATACATTATACAATATTCTTATTCAATTTCCTTTGGATTTATCTTCAACTATGTAGTGCAAGGGCCTGGCTGATTGCATACAAATTGAAAGTGTTTAGGTTTGACCTCATATTATGTGATTTTGGTAAATCTAAATTAAAACTGTATAATGTATGGCCAGCCTAAACAAGTAGTTAACCCTTGCTGCAAGGGATGAATTTTCAAGCTTCCTGGAGTTGGAATCAAAAGAGAGCAAATAAGGCTGACCATACATTGTACAATTTTCCTTTTGATTTACCAAAATCAAATAATATGCGGTCAAACCTAAACACTTTCAATTTGTATGCAATCGGGCAGGTCCTGAAGGTAAATCTAAAGGAAATTGAAGAAGAAAATGGTTTAATGTATGGCCAGCTGAAGAGAAATGTATTGTTAGAGTTTACATACACTTTAAAGTAGCAATAAGTGCCCGGTAATGCACTTGTTCTATGTCATATCTCATAGCTTCATGTTTTACAAAGTGCTCAAGTTTTCTCCTCTACGTCTCCGCGATCGCCTAATCCTCGCTGCGATAACAATGGTGCAAACGCATTCTAAGGCAGACAATAGAAGCTTCTCTTGTTTCCCTTTAAGGTTTTTTTTAATAATAACCCCCTTTGTTGCTTAATAGCCCGCCACCACGTGATACCTCTATTCATTGCTCCTCTTTACCTCCTTGAAATGGTTAAATCAGTGCTATGGGAAGAATTCAAGAGGCTGCTGTCAAAGGCAGATCTGTGATTGGCTGCTCCTCCAGCTCATTTGCATGTCTGAGCTTATAAAACCCCCTGAAGAGTGTCCAGAGCCGCTGAGAACTCCAGACTGAGTGAGAAGGAGGGGTGTCAGGGACACTTTGTACTACACGACGGGTATACATGCAGGCAGGCTCTATAAGGGCTCTGCACCGCACTCCATCCCATCCTCACTGCTCCTAAGACTTGACACAATGACTTTTCTAAAGGGAAGATCCTGGACTTGTCCCTTTAGGCTCTTCTGCTGGGTGGCCCTGGTGGCATTATCTACCTGTAAGACTATGAGATACAGGACTTATGAAGAGGATGACCCTGGCACAGTCATAGGTACTTTAGCAGAAGATCTACATCTGAGCCATTCTGGGGAGGGAAGTTTCCGATTGATGAAACAGTTCAACAGCTCTCTGATCCGAGTCCGAGAAAGCGATGGGCAGCTGAGTATTGGGGAGAGGATAGACCGGGAGCAGATCTGCAAACAGTCACCCAGTTGTATCCTGGCTCTGGACGTGGTCAGTTTCTCCAAGGAGCAGTTCAAGCTGATCCATGTGGAGGTGGAGGTGAGGGACATCAATGATAACAGCCCCCATTTCCCCAGCCAGGAGATACCTGTGGATGTGTCTGAGAGCGCAGCGGTGGGGACCAGGATCCCCCTGGAGATAGCCATGGATGAAGATGTAGGCTCCAACTCCATCCAGACCTTCCAGATCTCCGTCAACAGCCACTTCAGCATTGACGTCCAGACCAGGGCGGATGGGGTGAAATATGCAGACTTGGTCCTGATGAAGGAACTGGACAGGGAAAGCCAGTCTGCCTACTCCTTGGAGCTGGTGGCCATGGATGGGGGGAGCCCATCCCGCTCTGGCAGTGCAGTGGTTAATGTCCGGGTGCTGGACTTTAATGACAACAGCCCGGTGTTTGAGAGGAGCGCTGTCACCGTGGACTTGATGGAGGATGCCCCTGTAGGGTTCCTCTTGCTGGATCTCAATGCTGCTGACCCCGATGAAGGTGCCAATGGAGAGATCGTCTATGGCTTCAGTCCTCAGGTGTCCCCAGAGGTACGTCAGCTTTTTAAGATCGATCCGAAATCTGGCCGACTTACACTTGAAGGTCAGGTTGACTTTGAGACTAAGCAGACCTATGAGTTTGATGTGCAGGCTCAGGACTTGGGTCCGAACCCATTGACGGCTACCTGTAAAGTCATCGTGCATGTGATAGATGTGAATGACAATGCCCCTGCCATCACCATCACCCCCCTGACCTCGATCAGTGCGGGAGTAGCCTATATCACCGAAGCTGCAGCTAAGGACAGCTTTGTAGCGCTGATCAGCACCACGGACAGGGACTCGGGAGCCAACGGCCAGGTCCACTGCACTCTCTATGGGCACGAACACTTCAAGTTACAGCAAGCCTATGAGGATAGCTTCATGATCGTCACCACCTCCCCTCTAGATCGAGAGAAGATAGCCGAGTACAACCTGACCGTGGTGGCCGAGGATCTGGGCTCTCCTCCCTTTAAAACCGTTAAACAATACACCATCAGGGTGAGCGATGAGAATGACAATGCTCCTGTCTTCGCCAAGCCGGTCTATGAAGTGTCCGTCATGGAGAACAATGCCCCCGGAGCCTACATCACCACAGTGGTGGCCAGGGACCCCGATCTTGGCCACAATGGTAAAGTCATCTACAGACTGGCAGACTCCGAAGTTATGGGGGCTCCGATCTCCACCTATGTGTCTCTAGATCCGGCCACCGGGGCTGTCTATGCTCTGAGAACCTTCAACTATGAGATTCTCAAGAACTTGGACCTCAGGATCCAGGCGAGCGATGGAGGATCTCCCCAGCTTACTAGCAGCGCTATCATCAAGGTCAGGATAGTGGATCAAAATGATAATGCACCTGTGATTGTCAGCCCTGCGCTGTCCAATGGATCTTCAGAGGTGGTCATCCCAGCCAGAGCCCCTCATGGCTTTCTGGTCACTCAAATTAAAGCCAGAGATGCAGATGAAGGGGTTAATGCTGATCTCACTTTCAGCCTTTCAGAAGAAGGGAGAAATCTGTTTACCATCAACAAGCTTACAGGGGAGGTCTTCCTCACTGCAGATGTCAGCGATGACCTGGGGCAGGTGTTCAAGACCATCATCACAGTGACTGACAATGGTAGACCACCTCTGGCTAATACTGCTACTGTCAGTTTCTTGGTCACTGCTGCCACTCCTCCAGTCAATCATGAAGTCATGCAGCCAAGTTCCTTGGAGGAGAAAGTTTCCCACTGGGACATTCCCTTGATTGTGATCATTGTCCTTGCTGGCAGTTGCACCCTGCTCCTAGCGGCCATCATCACTATTGCTACTACATGCAATAAACGGAGGAAAGAGAACAAGGCTGGTAACAAGACTGAAAGAGACATATCTGAGTTAGAAAAAGCAGATCCAGATGAGGAGCTTATTGATAATCAGAAAGCCAACCTCTTTGATGCCAGACCTTTTCCCAATGCCACCCCCTTCACTGGAACAGAAGCAGCAGTCACCCCAGAAGTGCCCAGCACTGAAGACACCTTTGGGACATGTCTGTATGACACCCAGAAGAGACTGAGGACCACTAACAGTGAGGTAAGAGGATGGACTGGGTGCCTGGAATGGCAGGGAAGGGTGGGGTGGTTGGGTGAATCAGGCTTGTAATGGTATTCTCTCTTGCAGAATTATGCCTCAGCTCCTAGCTTCGGGAAGGAGACAGGACCTACAGTGACAGTGTGGAAGGGACATTCATTCAATACCATATCCATCCGAGAAGCAGAAAAATTCAGTGGAAAGGACAGTGGCAAGGGGGATAGTGACTTCAATGACAGCGACTCTGATATCAGTGCTGATGCTCTGAAGAAAGATCTCATTAACCATATGCAGACTGGTAAGTGTCCTTTGATCATATTTAGAGATATCATTAAGGACAGTGTTCTTTAGACTTAACATTGCCAGGTCTGCACATCTGTTTGTGGAGATCTCCAGCTACAGCAGTAAGTTTAGTCTGCCTGAGAGCAAGATCGGAGAAAAGCTGTTTGTGACCCCTACTACCTCTAGAACAGACTGATTTGGTCTTCTGTTGAAACTTATCTTTTCAATCTGGTCATTTTGTATGGGGGGGGGGGGGGGGTATATGTATACATTATTTGTTTAGCCAACTACAGGATTATTGCATTTCCGCTTTAACCAGGGAAAAAAGGTCCATTGTTGTGATGTGAAACCTGTTACACCGATTACTAAATCTATTGTATATCATTTATACACAACAGTGTGTATATTCCTTGAAAATGTCCAAGTCTTTGCCCAACAATGAATGATATAGATTTTAAACATTTCCGGAATGCATTTATTAATTTGGTAGCCAAAACACATTGCCACATCAAGGATGTCTTTATAAGTAAACATAATCCCAAATACATCTACTTTTTGCTTTATCTGTCATATCACCGCAACCAGCTTTCTTCTGCATTTCTAAAAAAAGGGGGAATATGTATATATATATATATATATATATATTCCCAAAAGGATATTCCCCCTTTTTGGAAATGCAGAACAAAGCAGGTTCAGGATTGCAGTGATATGACATATTTAGAAATAGAGCAATATATATATATATATAATATATATATATATATATATATATATACACACACACACATTAAATAGAAAAATATATATATATATATATTTATAATATATATATTTTTTTTTCCTATTTAATGTATATATACAACATGTTACAGGATATAATTGAATATTTTAGAGCTCCTTCTAAGTCTGTTTTATAGTTTTATACAGAGAGACCGTTTATGGTTATGACATCTTTTCGAGAATGACAGTTACCGTGTTGCTGCTTTGAAAACGTTTGTGAAAAGTCTTTGATTTCATTTCAGGAATACAATAATGGCTGATTCCAATAATAGGAATTAGTGAAAAATATAATAAGAATACTTTATGTAAATAGAAATTTTTTTATATACAACAGAAAATAGATAACTTGTAATGATTAGTAGGATGCTACAGCAAAAAAAAACATGCCTACATGTATTTTTATACTATGAAATAATGTGCCAAATGTCACACTTTTATCACAGATGTATTTCTACATTATAGGCATGTTTACTAACTGACTGTAGCTGCTGTCAGGCTGAGTATTTTTCATATGTATTAATTGTGTACATTGGTCATGGAATTTTATGATTCTTACACCTCTTTACTGCAGCAGAGGCAAAGACATACAGATTATTTTTTTCAGTATAGATACAGCTTTTCAACTCATTTACTTCTTCTGTTTTAGGACTTTGGGCCTGTACAACCGAGTGCAAGATCCTAGGCCATTCTGATCGCTGTTGGAGTCCTTCATGTGGCAGACCACCCAATGTTCATCCGCCAGCAGTACACACAGGGCAGCTCTCAGTTTCCAGCTTTTGCAAAAGCACCTCTTTACCACGTGACCCTTTGCACAGAGATAACTATTACCAATCATCTCCAGCTCAAACACACCTCCAAAAAGTAGGGGGTCTACAGAATGTCAAAGTGCTACCCAAAGACTATGAAAGCAGGACAATAACAATATCAAGATCGGGTAGACTTCCTGATCTCCAAGAAATCACCATGCCAATTTTTAAGTCCCCTGGCACCACCAGATTTGTGCCACCACATGACACTACCTGTGAACAGGATGAACTTTAGTGTAAAACAATTTGACTCCTTTTACCAGTTTTGGAGAACCACAATCTGTGTAAATGAGGCTGCATAACTCTAAGAGTTTTAAGTTATTGACCATTGTTAAATGATATATATTCTTTATTTAGGTACAAGAAGTCCTACAGCACTTTCTTTGCCATAGTTCAAATGATGTCTATTGAATTATTTATTACAGTCTTCCAGTGTCATAATTATCAAGGATTTTTAAATATCTTTTATTGCAAATTTTCTTCTTGTTACTTGAGTAACAAATTAGTATAGCTTCACAAAATAAGGTCTTGAATATCCTGTATATGCCATTGGATATTTTCCAGTGAAAACGACTATACTGTTCATCCATTTACCTTGACTGTAATTTACAGTTATGATTAGGAGTAATTCCCACTACTAATATTGCAAGTCAGTAGTATGTTTGAAAAAAAATGAAAGGTGCTCTTCCAACTAATGACAATATGCATCTGGGATGATTTACTAAAGGCCCGTGTCTACTTCCAACAGCCAATCTGTTCAGATTGGCCTTTAGCCTTACTGGATGTTTGACAAAAAAACAAGGTTTTTATAGTCAAATAAATCTTTAGTAGGTTGGTCACTCAGTGCTGTAATGATTTACCTGATCTCATGCTTGAAAAACCTCAAAAACTATCACTTTACCTGATCTCATGCTTGAAAAACCTTGAAAACTATCACTTATGGTTCCCAAAGCAATGCTGTTTGATGTTGTTCACTCAAGCATGCTTCCTTCCCTAGACTTCTAGGTAGGTTTGTGTATATTATGAAACTTGGATATCCATTTGGTAGTCAACCAAGAAACCTATCTTGATTGCATTGGAATCTCCCAGTTTTGCAAGTTTTCTAGGGTGTAGCCCAATTACCACAAAAATATCTTTGGCTGCCAGCCAAAAATGATAAAAATAATAATAATATTAACAATCATCTTTATATCATATGAAATTATATTCTAGTTAAATTATTTTCCATTATTCTTTTTTAAACTTAACATAGATACAAAGCATACCTTCAATATTTAAGTGTACTTGTACCTGGATAAATAGTGAACAGTGTGTGTGTATATTTATTTTACACATGCACATTTACCCTCACTCAAACAGTGGGAGGAATCTATCAAAATTTGACTCTGGTGCTGTACAAAACAATTCAACCAAACAAACATTTTTTAAACAATCAAACATTTTTAGATGTTTTTAATCTAGTAACTTGATGCAGACCCAGAGTAATATGTGCAAAATCTTGATAATTTCCCCCCAATGTGCCTTAAATCAAATAATTGGTGGAATAGCATTCCTGCCAGGTCAATACCATTTGATATTTGCAAACAAATATTGTTTGATGTCTCTGTAATTTTTATGAAATGTGCAGTATTTAATTTTTTACTGTGTTTTTGCTCTGATCTCACACATGGCTTGCCATTTGGTAGTGATGAAACATAAATACTGTGTACTTGTAATAAGTTTGTAAATATTGAAAAATTTGATCTATTTTTATATTAAAATGTTCATAAAAATATTGCCAAAGGAACTATGTGTATGGATACAACTTTGAACCTAAAGTCACTTGAAATGTATATGTTACAATGTACATTTTTTTTTTTACAATCATTGAAAAAAACCTGACTTGCAAAGTGTGACTTGTAGTTTATGCACCAGTGGTCCATATAAAATGTTATTGCATTTTTTAATTTCCGCAAATGATGTCACCATAAAACACACTAATAAAGTATTTGTGACTTCTGTGAAGCACTTCACTGAAACTCTGCTCTGGAAAACTGTGTCAATAAGTCAAGCTGATAAAAATCAAGGAAATCCTAGCAATTTAATTAAAGCCAGAAGAGTAGCAATCATATTTTGCAACTTATATATCTGCTTCCACTCATAAGCAGTAGATGTGACAAAAATGAGGTTTGAGGAAGGAATGCGGAAGTCATACTGAACACAATGCCAACCTAATTTTTCATGTCTGTGCTAGACATTGGACAGAACAAAACAGTCCAGCTTAAAACAAATTGCCACAAAGCAGATCAGCTAGAAAGGAAAACAGACAGAACTATCAAACTCTACTTAGGCTGGTATCTGCAAGAGACTCTTAATGGACCTAGTCTCAATGGCTGTCGTAAACCAGCTGTAAAACAGTCTAGAAGTAATACACATCTCTATGTCTGGCTTTTTTTTGAACCAAGCCTGAGCTTTAGCTCAAGCTCTCAACTCTATCCATCACCTATAATTTTTACTATAAAGCAGTTGCATTCTTAAATTCTTAAAGTGATTACACTGAAGTATGGGGTGATTCTGTTAGTCATTAAACACACCTACTTTACAAAGAGCCAAAGGCTCATGGGAGAGATATGTTAATAGAATTTGTATCATATTTGGTGTCTATCAAATAAAAATTCCATCCGTTAAATGATATGTTGGTTGTCAGAACATTAAACTTTACCATCTGGAAATACAGACATAGAATAATTGGCATTAGGAAAGTGTGCATTAGAGAATAATAAAACACTTCAACATTCCTTCAACACACCCTTCAGACCTTTTGATTAGTTTTGTTAATTCTGTATATGCATTCTTCAGAGATTAGAAAGATGGCTGCATTTACAGTTCTGGAGTATTCACCTACCATCTTACCTATGAGAGAATGATAAGAGTCCTTCATGAGAGCCATTGACTCTGACATATAAGATTGGACTACTCTGCAAGTGAATTAGACTCTGACTGGAGCCAAAGGCTAGGTGAACTTTGCTAAAATATTTTCATGTGTAATACCATTTTATTTTACTGATGCTAATCCTTCTGTCTTGTAATATTTTTTTTCTGTATATATTTACCTGCACCATTTTTTTCTCTTTCATTAACACATTTAAAAATCATTAAACTGATTTTCTGAATTCTCTAATTAGAATTTAAAGAACTTTTTGAAGCTATTATAGTCTATCATCT